CAACAACAAAAAAACAAAAACAGAACTGCTTTAACCTCAGCCTCCTGAGTATCTGGGACTACAGGCGCCCGCCACCAAGCCCGGCTAATATTTGTATTTTTAGTAGAGACGGGGTTTTACCATGTTGGCCAGGCTGGTCTCGAACTCCTGACCTCAGGTGATCTGCTCAGCTTGGCCTCTGAAAGTGCTGGGATTACAGGCGTGAGCCACCGCGCCCGGCCTGTGCCTGAATTTCAAAGAGAGGAGGGTAAAATGAGGCATGCCCTTTCTCCTTCCTACCATGGCCGAACTAGTGTTTCAAGTTAACTTTGCCATGCTCTTAGCTGAGAGGAGGGGTCCGTTCAGTTGGCCGGGAGCTTAGAATGCGATTTTTGGTTCTAGGGAGAGATGCAGAGTTAGGACAATAGGAGAGAAGCGAACCCGGACAGCAACGCCTACCTGACATCCACCGCTCTGGCAGGGCGACCACGCGGCCGGGGCCCGCCCGACCGCAGGTCTCGGGCCGCTCAGCGCTAGGAGCCGCGGGAGGGGGACCCAAACGTCAGTGGTCCCCAGAATCAGGACCCTACCTTGCTCCAGCATCTCGCCAGCCCTCCCTGCAGTCACTGAGCGCAGCGGAGAAGAACAGACCAGCGCGCCCCGCCCCCTCGCGCCCCGCCCCCTCGCGCCCCGCCCCTCGCGCCCCGGCCCCTCGCGCCCCGCCCCCTCGCGCCCCGCCCCCTCGCGCCCCGCCCCCTCGCGCCCCGCCCCCTCGCGCCCCGCCCCCTCGCGCCCCGCCCCCTCGCGCCCCGCCCCCTCGCGCCCCGCCCCCTCGCGCCCCGCCCCCGCCCGGGGACGCATTTCCCTGGCCTGCACCCAAGCGGGTAAAAGGGCAGACGTGGCAGCTCAAGGCACCTGCGCCCAGCAGGTTGCAGGCCACACTCTCCCAGGGAGACCAACATACTTGCGGAACCGCACAGAGAGGTGAGGCTAAAAAGAGGTACCGGTGATGATACCCGGGTTTTTGAGGCCACGGAATTCAGAACTGGAGTGAAACATACAAATAAAAGGAAATAAAAGCTCATCAAGGTTTCTTTGTGTTGCTGATGGTGTAGCACAGGTCAGATACTCGCCCTGCAGAAAGGTCAGGTCAGGAATTTAGGATGCAGGATGACTTCTGATTATTCCCCAGAGGCACCACCTGTGCACTGTTGGCCTCCCTTCTCCACGACTTCACCTGCATTTTGATGTACAATTTTAAAGCTTCTCGATATGGAATTGGAAATGGAATCCTGTGTCTTTTGGGAAACATTTACTAAAAGGCATCACATCTTGTTCTCCGTTTTCAGGAAGTTCACTCCTCCCTGTCAGTACTTTGACTAGACAATTAAAATAAACATAGATCCAATTTAGAAGAATGCTATAAAGATACAAAAACACATAAAAACAAAATATTATTTTAAAATACTGAATCAAGAAAACACTTGCAGTACATAGGACAAATACAGCATAATATTTAAGTCTCAAAGAAATATTCTACCTAAGAAAGAAGCAAAGAATCTGAAAGCTAAGAAAACAAAAATAAAATATGGCAAATACATTTGATTAAAGGTGTTCAAACACGCTAGTACTCAAATTAAAAATAAAACAATGAGATATTATTTCCAGCTCTAAAATTTATAATGATTGAAAATTTAATGGCTGGGCATGGTGGCTCATGCATTTTCTCTCAAAGCACTTTTGGAGCCCTAGCGGGTAGGATCGCTTGAGCCCAGGAGTTGGAGGCTGCAGTGAGCCATGGTTGCACCACTGCATTCCAGCCTGGGTGACAGAGTAAGACCCTCTCAAAACAAATAAATAAATAAACAAATACATACAATTTAAAAAAGAAAAGCATTTTAAATAATGAAACTGAAACAGGTCAGGGTCACTGGTGTCATTGTCTAAGGTGTTATCTAAGCTCGTGGTCTCATGACCAAGAAAATTAAGCAGTATGGACACGAAAGGTGAGGTTGGAGCAAAAATAGAAGCAGAGAGTAAAAGGGCGATTGCCAGGGGCTTGGGTGAAGGGGAAATGGGGAAATGTCGGTCAAGAGGTACAGATTTTCAGTTTTACAAGATAAATTTTTGGGGATTTAACGTACATAGTGACATTATTTGACATATGTACATAGTGACATGTGACATAGTTAACAAATCAGAAAAAAATTTTAAATGGGATGTTCAGAAACGAAAAAACAATACTACCTGACATTTGCTAAGAGGATAGTTTTTTGTTTTTTGTTTTTTTTTTTTGAAACGGAGTCTCACTCTGTTGCTCAGGCTGGAGTGCAGTGGCATGATCTCGGCTCACTGCAAGCTCCAACTCCTGGGTTCACACCATTCTCCTGCCTCAGCCTCCCGAGTAGCTGGGACTACAGGGGCCCGCCACCACGCCCGGCTAATTTTTTTGTATTTTTAGTAGAGATGGGCTTTCTCCACATTGGTCAGGCTGGTCTCAATCTCCTGACCTCGTGATCCACCCACCTCGGCCTCCCAAAGTGCTGGGATTACAGGCGTGAGCCACTGTGCCCGGCTGCTAAGAGGACAGATTTTTATTTTTTGCTACAAGGTTAGATCTTAAGTGTTCTTCTGCATGGGGGAGAGAAGGATATTTTTTTAAAAAGTGTTCTGACCACACGCACACACACACAAAGGGTGTAATTTGAGGTGGTTAATACATCAATCAGCTTGATTTGATTATGGTAACCATACCATATTATATGTCTATATCAAAATTCAAATTGTGTATTTAAAATATGTATCTTTTTTGTCAACTGTACCTCAATAAAGCTAAAAAGTAAATATAAGGCCCAGGACGGTGGCTCACACCTGTAATCCTAGCACTTTGGGAGGCTGAGGCAGGTGGATAACCTGAGGTCAAGAGTTCGAGACCAGCCTGGCCAATATGGTGAAACCCCATCTCTATCAAAAATACAAAAAATTAGCCAGATGTGGTGGCAGATGCCTGTAATCCCAGCTACTCGGGAGCCTGAAGCAGGAGAATCACTTGAATCTGGGAGGCAGAGGTTGTAGTGAGCTGAGATCGTACCACTGTACTCCAACCTGGGCAACAAGAGTGAACCACTGTCTCCAAAAAAACAAAAATACAATATTTAATTGGAGTAAATATAATATGATGTAACATATATGCACACACATAAAGGGTGTGATTTGAGGTGATAAATACATCAATCAGCTTGATTTGATTATGGTAATTATATCATATGTGTATTTCAAAATTCAAATTGTATATTTAAAATATATATCATTTATATCATTTTTGTCAACTGTACCTCATAAAGCTAAAAAGTAAATACAATATTTAATTGGAGTAAATATAATATAATGTAATACTTATGTACACATACACAAAGGGTGTGATTTGAGGTAGTAAATACATCAATCAGCTTGATTTGATTATGGTAATTATATTATATGTGTATATCAAAATTTAAATTGTATATTTTAATATATGTCATTTTTGTCAAATTTACCTCAATAAAGCTAAAAAGTAAATACAGCATTTACCTGGAGTAAATATAATATAATGTAATATATATGTTATATAGTATATCAATATTATATTGTTTATTATTATTATATATTAATATAATATATTGAATAATATATTATAATTTATTATAATAATTTTCAATATTGTGTCAATTAATTTAAAACACATTTATAATTGTAATATCTAATGTTCAAGTAGATGAACATATAATTTGTATCCAAATATAAACATCAATATAAATAAACAGCAGAACATTGTGCTCTAGATTTCCAGATAAATTTGGTGAAAAAACATTGTGATGAAATATCATATATAGAAAAGAAAAACAATTTATCATTGTTTTAATTAAATAAAGTGTAAAATTTTCCTGTTAAATGTTATTTCATGTTATTTTCCTGGTTCAAAATTGTTTCTCAAAAATGGCTTGATACCTGGCCAAATTTTATTTGTGGATAGTCAAATATATCAATAAATGAAATTCATATCACTTCACTATGTGCTTTTGATAACATTTTTAAAATTACACAAATATATACATGTAATAAAACTTTCCCTTTTATCCTGCAGTATTGTAGATTACAGTTATAAAATGTGGCAACCACCAGCCAGCTTCCCTCAAGACTGATCAATGACTGATCAATGACTGGTCAATAGTGAGGCATTTTTTTCAATGCACAGGTACCCTCACTTGCATAAGTTGCAGGGTCGTGCCTGTGCAGGGTAGGATCTTCTCTCTATTTACAATTTTTATGTTTCGTTAAGATGGACTTTTTACATTACTTAAAATATATATTGCATTCAAATATTATTTATCTTGATCATAGAATTTTTAGCACCCCCTTAAATTTTGTTCCTGTCTCACTAGCCTCACTCTTAATTGGTACTAATTAGAAATAACACTTCTGATTTAATAAGCAGAGGCCACTACGTCAAAAAATAGGTGGAGAGCATAAAAACCCCATTTACAAAAGAATAAATGTATATCATAAGCATTGAAAAAATATGTATAAGCAGAATAGTACTCAAAAATATTCTTTTTTAAAGAAATTGGGAACTATTGCAAGCTTGTCTCCCTGTTCAGATTCCAGTGATTTGGGAGGAATTTTTTTCCCACAAGGGGGTTAGGGGAGCCAAGGAGCATGACTCTGTGTATTCATGAGTTGGCATGGGGCAAAATGTTCTTGTGATGGCTTAAGTGTAGGGGTTGATAACAATTTATACATTGGTGTATATTATTAACTATCCGTTGACGAAAAGGAGTTCTATCGAGTCCTTTTTAGATTGAGGACACACGTTTCTAAGGAGTTTCTAGGGAGTAATAAAATTACTAAGGGTGGAACTAGAGATTTATGTAAATGGTTTAAAAAAGTGGGCGGGACCACCTGGCTAAGCGTATAAAACCCAGCCCTGTGCAGAGTGACTTGTCTCTCAGACGGTGGCTCAGCCTTCAGGACTCTCTTCCAGCATGGCCGAAGATACCTCTTCACACAGTAAGTTCCCTTGTGCTTGACTGAGCGTTTGTTGGCTTGGGGGAAAAGTCGGGCTAAAAACCTAGTGGTCTTGTCAGAAGTTGTGAGAGTTCCATTTGTAAACTTTAAAATAACTGTATCTGGATAAGGGAAAACCAGTTTCTCCGATGTGATATTATGAAAACAGGCTGTTTTCAGTGCATTTGAGCATTGGGAATTTCAGAAAGGTACAGATATTCAAGAACTAAATAAGACATATTTGAGCTTCAGGTGGGAAGAGAGGAGGAAGGAGCAGAAAAGAAAAAAAAGGAGAGGGAGACAGATACTAAAAGAAAGCAACTATGGGCCACGTCACAAAGTTTAGAGCTCAAAATATCCTTGGAATCAAGGATTCCAAATCTGGAGAGCACTTTCCAGATTTCTCTCTACAGAACGTTTGAACTTTTCTCCTGAACTTTGGACTTTATCTAATCGCCTACTGGTCTCTAACAGGCATCTCAGACTCAACGTGTTCCAAACTGAGCTCCTGATGTTCACATCTAAACTATTCCTCCCACTGTTTTCTCCAGCTCTGGAGGTGACAGGTCATGTCTCATATCTAGAAAACACCCCGACTCCATTTTTTTCCTCATAACATAATCTAGTCAGGCTGGACATTCTGATGGCTTTAACGTTCAAATATTTAAGGAATCTGACCATTTCTTGGTCCATCTCCTTAGATGATTGGTCCATTGCATTAGATTATTGCAGCCTTCTCCTAACTGATCTCTCTGCTTCCACCAACCTATTCTCAATGCTGTACCTCATGTGATGTTGTTAAACTGTTAATTAAATTATGGTAGCCAGGTGCGGTGGCTCATGCCTGTACTCCCAACACTTTGGGAGGCTGAGGTGGGCGGATCACGAGGTCAGGAGTTCGAGACCAGTCTGGCCAACATGGTGAAACCCTGTCTCTACTAAAAAAATTAGTAGAGACAAAAATTAGTGGCCGGGCGCGGTGGCTCAAGCCTGTAATCCCAGCACTTTGGGAGGCCGAGACGGGCGGATCACGAGGTCGGGAGATCGAGACCATCCTGGCTAACACGGTGAAACCCCGTCTCTACTAAAAAAAATACAAAAAACTAGCCGGGCGAGGTGGCGGGCGCCTGTAGTCCCAGCTACTTGGGAGGCTGAGGCAGGAGAATGGCGTGAACCCGGGAGGCGGAGCTTGCAGTGAGCTCAGATCCGGCCACTGCACTCCAGCCTGGGCGACAGAGTGAGACTCCGTCTCAAAAAAAAAAAAAAAAAAAAAAAAATTAGCTGGGCGTGGGGGCATGTGCCTGTAACCCCAGCTACTTGGGAGGCTGAGGCAGGAGAATCACTTGAACCTGGGAGGCGGAGGTTGCAGTGAGCCAAGACTGCACCATTGCACTCCAGCCTTGGCAACAAGAGTGAAACTCTGTCTCAAAAACAAAAAAACAAAAAAACAAAACGATGGATCAGTTGTGTGAAACTGAAGACAGGGACAAGCATTCAAAGATCAAACAAAAAAGCTGTTGGGCTTTTAACTGAACCTCTAGCATCTCTAATAACTTTTCTTGTCATCTCAATTCACTAAGTCTAATTCTGTTACAGAGTGGTATGTTCCAAAATGCTTTCCAGATTTGGTTATTTCAAGGGGATGTCCTATCCAGAAAATTATGTGATGTTGTTTTTTTTTTTTTCCTATTGGAAAATTCTACTGAAAGTATGAAATTCTTTTTCCAGTTAGTTTTGTCCTCTCTGTGGTGTTTTTAAAAACATCTTGGAAACTGATACTGTTTGCCTGCTATTGCTATTTGCAATGGAGCAATGGAAAAAAAAATGCTCCGGCCAGGGGTGGTGGCTCATATCTGTAATCTCAGCACTTTGGGAGGCCAAGGCTGGGGGATCGCTTGAGCCCAGGAATTTGAGACCAGCCTGGACAATGTGGTGAAACTGTATCAAAAAGTAGAAAAATTAGCTGGGTGTGGAGGTGTGCACCTGCAATCCCAGCTACTCCGGAGGCTGAGGTAGGAGGATCACCTGAGCCTGTGGAGGTGAAAGCTGCAGTGAGCCATGATTGCACCACTGCACTCCAGCCTGGGCAACACAGTGAGATCCGGCCTGAAAAAATAAAAATAAAAAAAAATAAAATATATGCACCAAGGAATTTTGACCTGAAAAACTGAAAGGGGTTGAAATGTTCCATTGTATCACAAACTCTTCGTTTCTATGACTTCATCACTATGCCATATCACCTGCATTATTGACTTATATTGTTTCTAATCCATATGAACAGAACACATTGTTTTTCTTAAAAAAATTATTGGTATTTTCACGACATACACATTGTTTTTTTGTTTTGTTTTGTTTTGTATGCTTTTGTTTTTGTTTTTGTTTTTTTGAGATGGAGTCTCGCTCTGTCACCCAGGCTGGAGTGCAATGGCATGATCTCAGCTCACTGCAACCTCCGCCTCCCAGGTTCAAGCAATTCTCCTGCCTCCACCTTCTGAGTAGCTGGGATTACAGGCACATGCCATCACGACTGGCTAATTATTTGTATTTTTAGTATAGATGGGGTTTCACCATGTTGGCCAGGCCGGTCTCGAACTCCTGACCTCATGATCTGCCCACCTTGACCTCCCAAAGTGCTGAGATTACAGGTGCGAACCACCGCGCCCAGCTCACAATGGTTTTTAATGGTTTTACAAAACAGAGGATCCCTGACTTCTTAGGATGGCATTCAGATGAGCTCAAGAAGTTGAAAAATCGCCATCGTGTGTTCAAGAGCTCCACCATTGTACAAGGGCAGTTCTCCCCGAGTGGGTTCCCGTGGATTCGGGAAGAGGAAGTGAGAGACTAGCCTGAACCTGAAGTTCGAATATATAAATTAACCTATTACATGCTGCTTCTTTTGTAATCTTCCTACAGAGATGGTAACAACAAATCACAGGCGCAGTCGCACCAAATTCACAGAAGATCAATTGAAAATCCTCATCAATACCTTCAATCAAAAGCCTTACCCAGGTTACGCTACCAAACAAAAACTTGCTTTAGAAATCAATACAGAAGAGTCCAGAATCCAGGTAAGTTTAAGTTCGGTATCTCCAGGACTGGAAATAGAAAGGCAGGAGGGAGAACCATTAACAGAGCCCGTACTATGTACCCATGTGTTGAGGGTTTGGTGGGGAGTCTCTCAACGGACCCTCAATAAACCCACAAAGGTGTTGGTTGATTGACCAGCTAATTTTCTTTTGTATTTTTAGTAGAGACGGAGTTTCACTATGTTGGCCAGGCTGGTCTTGAACTCCTGACCTCATGATCTGCTTGCCTCAGCCTCCCAAAGTGCTGGGATTACAGGGATGAGCCACCGCGCCCAGCAGGCTAACCTTTTTTTTTTTTTTTTTTACTTTTTTGTTTTTAGTAGAGATGATGTTGTCACACTATGTTGCCCTGGGTGTGAATGCCAAGTCTTGACCTAAGACTAGGTAGATGGGCCAGGCGTGGTAGGTCATGCTTATAATCCCAGCATTTTGGGAAGCCAAGACAGGTGGATCACCTGAGGTCAGGAGTTTGAGATCAGCCTGACCAACATGGAGAAACCCCATCTCTACTAAAAATACAAAAATTAGCCAGGCATGATGGCACACGCCTATAATCCCAGATCCTTGGGAGGCTGAGGCAGGAGAATACTTGAACTCAGGAGGTGGAGGTTGCAGTGAGCCAAGATCATGCCACTGCACTCCAGCCTGGGCCACAGAGTGTGACTCCATCCCAAAAAAAAAAAAAGAAAGAAGAAGACTTGGCAGAATGTGACAGAAGTGAGTAATAATCCTGGGCTTAGGCCCAATAAGAATTGCTCACTTTGGGAACAGGCAGTGATGTAGCTTAAATGACATTAACATGTAATTCTCTCCTTTTGTTTTCCTCACTTAGATTTGGTTTCAGAATCGAAGAGCTAGGCAGAGATTCCAGAAAAGACCAGAAGCTGACACTTTAGAGTCAAGCCATAGCCAGGGGCAAGATCAACCTGGTGTAGAGTTTCAAAGTAAATAAGCATCTCAGTTCTGTTCCCCAGCAGAGCTTCTCTACAGTGAAGCCAACTGCTACTTTGAAAAAAGAATGTCTCTTCCCTGACGACCTCCTATTCAGGGTCTTATGGTGGCAAAGGGTTCATCGTACCCTAGAAGTTCTCCCCTGCCCTCTTCCCAGGCCTTCTGAGTGTTTCTCTTGTCTATTTTCTATTTATTTATTTATTTATTTATTTTTTTTGAGACGGAGTCTCGCTCTGTCGCCCAGGCTGGAGTGCAGTGGCTGGATCTCGGCTCACTGCAAGCTCCGCCTCCCGGGTTCACGCCATTCTCCTGCCTCAGCCTCCCGAGTGGCTGGGACTACAGGCGCCCGCCACCTCGCCCGGCTAGTTTTTTGTATTTTTTAGTAGAGACAGGGTTTCACCGTGTTAGCCAGGATGGTCTCGATCTCCTGACCTCGTGATCCGCCCGTCTCGGCCTCCCAAAGTGCTGGGATTACAGGCTTGAGCCACCTTGTCCGGCCTCTATTTATTTATTATTTATTTTATTATTATTATTTTTTGAGACGGAGTCTCACTCTGTCACCCAGGCTGGAGTGCAATGGCTTGATCTTGGCTCCCTGCAACCTCTGCGTCCCGGGTTCAAGCAATTCTCCCGCCTCTGCCTCCCAAGTAGCTGGGATTTACAGGCAGGCGCCACCACGCCCAGCTAATTTTTGTATTTTTAGTAGAGACGAGGTTTTGCCATAATGGTCAGGCTGGTCTCGAACTCCTGACCTCGTGATCTGCCCCCCTCAGCCTCTCAAAGTTCTGGGATTACAGGCGTGAGCCACTGCGCCCGGCCTCTTGCCTACTTTCTACTCGAGTCCAGAAGTCCAGACATATCATCCTGTGTCTCCTCTAGAACTTTCCACCTCGAAGGAACCTGGGACAAGACCCTCTCAGGAGGAGTCAGTGGGATCGAAATTGGATGGAGAGTGACAAGTTTGGGTTGTGTGTTTGAATATGTAAACGGACTCTTGAAATATTCCTTGACCGCCTCCCTCAATCTTTCCATGCCCTCCCTAGGTAGAGAAGCCAGACGGTGTCGTACCACCTACAGCACCTCTCAATTACACACTCTCATCAAGGCGTTTGTGAAAAACCCATACCCTGGGATTGACTCCAGAGAAGAACTTGCTAAAGAAATCGGTGTTCCAGAGTCAAGAGTCCAAGTGAGTGATAAGCGTGGCTGTCCCATCTCCTAGGGCTATAGGTATACAGGAAGGGAAGCCGCATGGGTCTCAGGCAGTTCCTCATCATGCGGGGCACAGTTCAGGGTCTTTCACAGCTGGCTGTTCCCTGTCTGCTGGCTTCTACCCCCAGGTGCCCACAGGATTCAATCTCACATCCCCTTCTGGTATTTTCTGTCTGTCCTGAGCAATGTTGTATTCCTTGGGCCCCGAACAGTGCGTGGCAGTGAGAATTTGTTGAGTTAGTGAATATTAGTTAACATGGCATATAAGCCAGGCATTTGGCTAAAGCCTTTTTTTTTTTTTTTCCACAAGATGGGTACTCACCCTATTACCCAGGCTGGAGTGCAGCGGCGACATCTTGCCTCACTGCTGCCTAGACCTCCTGGGTTCAAGTGGTTTTTGTGCTTCGGCTGCCTGAGTAGCTAGGATTACAGGTGTGTGTCACCACGCCCGGCTAATATTTTTTGTATTTTTAATAGAGACAGGGTTTCGCCAAGTTGCCCAAGCTGATCTTGAACTCCTGGCCTCAGGTGATCCACCCTCCTTGGCTTCCCAAAGTGCTGGGATTACAGGGTTGAGCCACCGTGCCCTGCTTATTTGACTAAAGTCTTTATGTCTACCTTATCCTTCAGATCTTTAAGTATGCCCTGAGGTTAGAATTATGAGGTCCAGGCTGGGCGCGGCGGCTCACATCTGTAATCCCAGCACTTTGGGAGGCTGAGATGGGCAGATCACCTGAGGTCAGGAGTTCAAGACCAGCCTGGCCAACATGGTGAAACCCCGTCTCTACAAAAATACAAAAATTAGCCGGGCATGGTGGTGCACGCCTGTAGTCCCAGCTACTTGGCAGGCTGAGGGAGGAGAATCGCTTGAACCTGGGAGGTGGAGGTTGCAGTGAGTAGAGATTGCGCCACTGCACTCCAACCTGGGCAACAGAGCAAGACTCCGTCTTGGAAAAAAAAAATTATGAGGTCCACTTTAGACATTTAACATTTAGCTCAGAGAAATGTACCAGTCTGTCCCAGGATTCATTCCTGACACATCTTAAAACGGAATAAAATTGTCGGACTGCTGTGTAGGGTGTGTGTGCGTTTAAATCAGTGCTGCCTCCTGTAAGCAGGACATGAATGCACATTAGTGGTTCTGATGGTTCTTTCCTTTTACCTCCCTCATCTTATTTTCATTTTTCATTCTCTCCTTTCATTTTGCATTATTTGGAGCATCTACTATGTGCTAGGTACTGTACTAGGTAGTGATCGCTATGGTTTGAATGTTTGTCTCCTCCAAAACCAATGTTGAAACTTAACTGCCATTGTAACACTATTAAGAGTTGTGGCCGGGCACAGTGGCTCACACCTGTAATCCCAGCACTTTGGGAGGCCGAGGCGGGTGGATCACCTGAGGTCGGGAGTTCGAGATCAGCCTGACCAACATGGAGAAACCCGGTCTCTACTAAAAATACAAAAATTTAGCTGGGCATGGTGCTGCATGCCTGTAATCCCAACTACTCGGGAGGCTGAGGCAGGAGAATTGCTTGAACTTGGGAGGTGGAGGTTGTGGTGAGCCGAGATCACGCCACTGCACTCCAGCCTGGGTGACCGAGAGAGACTCAAGAAAAGAAAAAAAAAAACAACAGTGTATATATATACTATATATATACACTATATATAAAAAATTTATATAAAATATAATATATACTACATATAAAATATACTATATATATTATATATACGTATATCTTGGGTTGGGCATAGTCAAGTGTGCCTCTAGTCCCAGCTACTTGGGAGGATTGCTTGAGCCCAGAAAGTCATCAGCCTGGACCACGTGGTGAAACCTTGTCTCTACAGAAAGTTTAAAAATTAGCCTAGTGTGATGATACACACCTGTAGCACTAGCTACTCTGAGAGAGACCGCTGTCTCAAAAAAAAAAAAAAAAAAAGAAAAAGAAAAAAGAGAAGAAAGCAATCATGAGTTTTACACAACATCCTTTGTTTAAATTAAGTTTCTTTGTCTTACCCACTTAGATTTGGTTCCAAAATCGAAGATCTAGATTACTTCTCCAGAGAAAAAGGGAACCTGTGGCTTCCTTAGAACAAGAAGAGCAGGACAAGATTCCTGAGGGACTGCAAGGTAACTAGCCTGTTGTTGCAATGTGGTTCACAAGCAGAGCCCTTGGATGTCCAGTGCTTCGTCCTGGTGGAGCCGACAGCTGCTCTGGGAGGTGGAGGATATTCCCACCCAAGTGTTCCATGGTTCCGTGGGATTGCTCACAGTCCCCAAAGACTCTTCCCAGGCCTGTGGACCTTCTAAAGAATCCACTGCCCACTTTCCAACTGGGGTTCAGCAACCCCACGGATACAAATTCTGTTCACCGACGTATCCACAGTGCCTGGTGCAAAGTAGACGCTCAATACACTTCTGTTGAAGGTGTGATTGAGTGAGCGGAGGAATGAATCCTCCTGTGTGGTCTGCCAGGGACAGCAGGGGCATGGCTTTCTCAGGAGGTAGTAGGTTCCATATTGGATTGAAAAGGTGGGGGCTGGGCGCGGTGGCTCACACCTGTAATCCCAGCACTTTGGGACGCCGAGGTGGGCGGATCACGAGGTCAGGAGATGGAGACCATCCTGGCTAACACGGTGAAACCCCATCTCTACTAAAAATACAAAAAATTAGCCGGGTGAGGTGGTGGGCACCTGTAGTCCCAGCTAGTCGGGAGGCTGAGGCAGGAGAATGGTGTGAACCTGGGAAGTGGAGCTTGCAGTGAGCCGAGATCGCACCACTGCACTCTAGCCTGGGCGACACAGCAAGACTCCGTCTCAAAAAAAAAAAAAAAAAAAAAAAAAGAAAAGAAAAAAGACAAGGTGGGAAAAGGTTGACTTCCATGTTTGTGAATATAAGCTGACCTCTTGTATTCTTTCCCCTATCTTTTTTCCGCCTTAGGTACAGAAGATACACAAAACGGCACCAACTTCAGTAACGACTCTCGTTTCTCTGGAGCCAGAACGTGGTGAACATAGTCAAGTTCAGTGTACTCGATATTATCCATTGGGCCCCAAATCTCTCTCACACTCTTTCTGGGAGTCTGTCCTTCTGTTGAAACTGCAACCTAAGCCTTCTGAAGATGGTAAAGGACTTGGCCCGATGTGGTGGCTCACACTTGGAATCCCAGTACTTTGGGAGGCCAAGGCAGAAAGATTGCTTGAGCCCAGGAGTTTGAAACCAGCCTGGACGGCGTATAGGAAGACTCTGTCTCTATTATTAAAAAAGAAACAAAATAAATGAAAAGGACTGTAGGAGGCAGAGACAGGTACAGGAGGTACCACACTACCCTGTCGACACAGCCTAGATCCAGAGTTTAGCAGACCTTGAGACAATGAAAATAAACTTGGTAATCATTTTTTTTCAATCATCACAGTAATTATTGATTTGGACAAAAATCACTTGACGTTGGAACCTTAAAGTGACACTGCTCTGTCTGTGGAGTAGTCATTCTTTTATTCCTTTATTTTCTAACAAATTTACTTTCACTTGAAAAAAAAAAATCTTAGAGTTCAAGGAAGAATGAGATATATACCTCATCTCAAATAATCTACTCACACACACTTATTCATTGCAAAAGGAAAATCAGTAATATGGCAGTGGAGAAATATGGCCAACTCCACCTTAACCGCGTGGCTGAAAGTCACAGTAATGGCACAAACCAACGTGAGCGGCTTCCTGATATGATACAGGAAGAAGGCCAGTCTCTTCTGCATGTTACTGACAAACAGTGGGTGAGCTGAAACTCATAATTAGGCAAAGTCAAGCAAACACAAACTCGGGATGACAGACTGCAAAGTAACATCCATGTACTCTTCAACAACGGATTGATCAGGGCTACTCCGGAGGCTGAGGCGGGAGGATTGCTTGAGGCCAGGAGTTCCAGATCAGCCCGGGCAACATGATGAGACCCTATCTCTACAAACAAGTTTTTTAAAAATGAGCCAGATGTGGTAGTGTGCGTCTGTAGTCTCAGCTACTCAGGAGCCTGAGGCAGGAGAATGGTTTGAACACAGGAGATTGAGGCTGCAGTGAGCCATGATCGTGCTACTGCACTCTGGCCTGGGTGACACAGCAAGTTCCTGTTTCCAAACAATGACAACAACAACAGCAAAACAAAAAACAAACAACAAATGGATAGAATAATGACAATAAACATGGAGAAAAAGTAGGCTGACTCAGGAAATACTTAGAAAGTACAGTCATACTTTGCCGGGCACGGAGGCTCACGCCTGTAATCCCAGTACTTTGGGAGGCAGGTGGATCATGAGGTTAGGAGATTGAGACCATCCTGGCTAACATGGTGAAACCCCGTCTCTACTAACAATATTTTAAAAATTAGCCGGGTGTGGTGGTGGGTGCCTGTAGTCCCAGCTACTCGGGAGGCTGAGGCAGGAGAACGGCGGGAACCCGGGAGGTGGAGGTTGCAGTGAGCTGAGATCGCGACACTGCACTCCAGCCTGGGCCACAGAGTGAGACTCCGTCTCAAAAAAAAATTTAAAAAATTTAAAAAAAAGTACAGCCATACCTCAAAGACATTGTGGATTGGGTTCCAGACCACCACAATAAAGCAAATATTGCTATAAAGCGAGTCACACAAATTGTTTTGTTTCCTTATGAATATAAAGTTACATTGGCCGGGTGTGGTGGCTCATGCCTATAATCCCAGTACTTTAGGACATAGAAGGGGGAGGATCACTTGAGCCTAGGAGTTGTGAGGTCAACCTGGGCAATATAGGGAGATCCTGTCTCTACTTAAAAAACTAAGCTACATTTACTCTACACTGTAGTCTAATAAAGTGTGAAATGGCTTATGTCTAGGAAACAAGGTACATACCTTAATTTTAAAATACCCCATGCCAGCTGGGTGCCGTGGCTCATGCCTGTACTCCCAGCACTTTGGGAGGCTGAGGCAGGTGGATTGCTTGAGCTCAACCTGGACAACATGGCAAAACCCCGTCTCTAAAATAAAACAAAAACAAAAAAGCTTGATGCCCTTATTTGTAGCTCAATTATTTTTTAAAAAGAAAATATATAAAAATACTTTATTGCTAAAAATACTAATTATCTTAGCTTTCAGGGAGTCATAATCTTTTTGCTGGTGAAGAGTTGCCTCGATGTGGTTGGCTGCCGGCTGATAAGGGTGGTGGCTGCTAAATATTGAAGTGGTTGTAACCATTTCTTAAAACAACAATGAAATTTGCCACAGTAACTGACCCTTCCTTCCACGAAAGATTTCTCTGTAGCATGTGATGTTGTTTGATAGCATTTTACCCACCGTAGAACTTCTTTCAAAAGTGGAGCCAATCCTCTCAAACCCTGCCACTGCTTTTTAAACTTCGTGCATCAATATTGTCTTCGGACAATTCAGGCCCCTGAATTGTCCTAGGAATTTTCTTTGCTAAGCATTTGTGAAGACACTGGGATGAAGGTTGGGTTAAACTTTTGAATTTGAAGTAGGCCAGGCATGGTGACTCAGGCATGTAATCCCAGAGTTTGGAGAGGCCCTGGCAGGAGTATTGCTTGAGGCTAAGAGTTCAAGACCAGCCTGGGCAACATGGCCAGACTCTATCTCGACAAACAAATTTTTCAAAAAAATTTGCCAGGTGAAGTGGCACATGCCTGTGGTCCCAGCTACTTGGGAGCTGAGATGGGAGGATTGCTTGAATCCAGGAGGTCGAGGCTGCAGTGAGCTGTGATTGCACCACTGCACTCCAGCCTGGGTGACAAAGAGAAACCTTGTCTCAAAAAAAAAAGAAAAAAAAAAAAAAGACTTTGAAGGAAAGTGACTTACGGGGAAAGAATGTGAAGAAAACATTGGCGGCCAATGCTGTGGTTCACACCTGTAATCCCAGCACTTTGGGAGGCCGAGGCGCTTGGATCATCTGAGGTCAGGAGTTTTAGACCAGCCTGGCCAACATGGTGAAACCCCGTCTCTACTAAAAATACAAAAGATTAGCCGGGCGTGTTGGCGCATGTCATTAATCCCAGCTACTTGGGAGGCTGAGGCAGGAGAATTGCTTGAATTCTCTGGGAGACAGAGCTTGCAGTGAGCCAAGATCACGCCATTGCACTACAGCCTGGGTGACAGAGCGAGATTCTGTCAAAAAAAAAAAGAAAAAAACGTGGGTAGTTTGGCTAGAGCATAATAGATTTTCTGGTTTTTAAAAGTTTGAATTGCAATGAAGAAGCTGTAATGTACCGCTTTTGCAATTTTCAGTAGCAAATACGCACATAGAGAAAAAATAAAATTGACACATTTGAGTACCGTTAAAAAAACACTTTATTTGCTTATCCATAGAAGCAATTCCTCATCTGTTCAAGTGTTTTTGTTTTTGTTTTTGTTTTTGTTTAATTTTAATATTTTCACAGAAGCTGGTCTTTCTTTTTCTTTTTTTTTTTTTTGAGACAGAGTCTCACACTGTTGCCCAGGCTGGAGCGCAGTGGCACGATCTCGGCTCATTGCAAGCTCCACCTCCCGGGTTCACACCTTTCTCCTGCCTCAGCCTCCCGGGTAGCTGGGACTACAGGCACCCGCCACCTCGCCTGGCTAATTTTTATATTTTTAGTAGAGAGGGGGTTTCACCGTGTTAGGCAGGATGGTCTCCATCTCCTGACCTTGTGATCCACCTGCCTCAACGAGGTCTTTAATTTAAAAAAGACTGACCTCATGATTCTCCTCCCTAGGCCTCCCAAAGTGCTGGGATTACCTGGCCGATACATTTTCAAAGAGCAATGACATTTTGTGTTTGTGCGGTCTTTCGCTTTTTTCTTATTTTTCTATTGTTGTGTTTAGGTTTGATGAGCAGTAACATATTTTTATTATTTATTTATTTACTTATTGTGTTTGGAGGCTGAACATCTGGGATCTGAAGAGCAGTAATGCTTTGAAGGGAATCTTTTTTTTTTTTTTTTTTTGGTCTGAGAAGTAGTTCTCAACAGTGGACTTCAAATATTCAAAATCATACTGTAAACAAATGTGCTATCACCCAGGCTTTGTTGTTCCATTTACAGAGCACAGATAGAGTAGATTTAACATAATTCTTTTCTTTGTTTGTTTTTTTGAGACACAGTCTCACTCTGTCACCCGGGCTGGAATGCAGTGGTGTGATCTTGATCTTGGCTCACTGCAGCCTCCATCTTGGCTCACTGCAGCCTCCACCTCCCAGGGTCAAGTGATTCTCTTGCCTCAGTCTCCTGAGTATCTGGGCCTACAGGCATGGGCCACCATGCTCAGCTAATTTTTTTGGTATTTTTAGTAGAGATGGGGTTTCACCATGTTGGCCAGGCTGACCTGGAACTCCTGACCTCAAGTGATCTGCCAGCCTTGGCCTCCCAAATTGCTGGGATTAGAGGCGTGAGCCACCACACTCGGCCAGCGCAATTCTTAGAGGCTTTAAAATCTTTTATTTTATTTTTATTTTTTTATTTTTTTAATTTTTTTTTTTTTGAGACTGAGTCTGGCTCTGTCGCCCAGGCTGGAGTGCAGTGGCCGGATCTCAGCTCACTGCAAGCTCTGCCTCCCGGGTTTACGCCATTCTCCTGCCTCAGCCTCCGGAGTAGCTGGGACCACAGGCGCCCGCCACCTCGCCCGGCTAGTTTTTTGTATTTTTTAGTAGAGACGGGGTTTCACCGTGTTAGCCAGGATGGTCTCGATCTCCTGACCTTGTGATCCGCCCGTCTCAGCCTCCCAAAGTGCTGGGATTACAGGCTTGAGCCACCAAGCCCGGCTTAAAATCTTTTAAATGGTAAGTGAGCATTGGGTTAAACTCAGTCACCAGCTGCATTAATTTCATGTAAAAGAATCATCCTGTCCTTGGAAGCTTTGAGGCCAGGCATTGACTTCTCTCTACCTATAAAAATCCTAGATGGAATCTCCTTCTAATAGAAGGCTTTTTCATCTACATTGAAAATCTGCTTTGAGCCAACTGCAGTGGCTCATGCCTGTAATACCAGCATTTTGGGAGGCTGAGATGGGAGGATTACTTGGGGCCAGGAGTTTGAGACCAGCCTGGCAACATAGTGAGACCTTGTCTCTAAAAAAAATTTTAAAAAAGGCCA